ATCAATGTAATGAAACAAGTTATATGAATTGTTGAATGTGAAACTGATGATGTGCCCTGTAAACTTTCACTCAATCCACAATAAAAACCTTAAATTAAACAAACAAACAAAAAAAACCAGCCGTAGAAAGGAACACCAAGCAAATGAATGTGTTGACTGTGTTACACTAAAAGTTTATTTATAGTCACTGAAAAAAAAAACAAACAATAAAGACTAGCAGAATTTGAAGAATATACTCTGCTAAAGGATAGGAAGACTTAACATTGTGAAAATGTCAACACTACCCAAAGTAATTAATAGACATAATACTATACCAATCCAGATTCAAATATCATTCTTTAAAGATGTGGAAAAACTATTCCCTAACTTTATATGGAAATGAAAGAGACCCCAGATATGCAAAGCATTATTAAAAAAGAAGAACAAAGTCGGAGTCTTTGTTCCTGATCTTTTGAGATCACTTCCTGATCTGAAAACCCACTACACAGCCACAGTAGTCAAAACTGCCTGATTAGTGAAACAAATTTGAGAACCCAGAAGTAAATCCATCTCCCTGCGGTAAGCTGATATTTGACAAAGGGCCCCAATGCATCAAATGGGGAAGGGATAGTGTTTTCAACAAATGATGCTGGCAAAATTTGAAATCCATTTGCAGAAAAATGAAACACCCATATCTCACACCATATACAAAAATGAACTTAACGTGGACTAAAGATCTAAATTTAATCCAGATCACCAATGAAAAAATAGGAACAAACACAGGAACTTTGGTACATGGCAAAAATACACTATCAAACATAACTAAAAACACAAAAACAGACGACAAAATAAATGACGGGGGCCTCCTAAAAATTAGATGTGTGCATCAAAGAATTTCACCAAAAGAATAAATAAAAGAGAACCCACAGACAGGAAAAAATGCTTGGCAATGACTTATCAGACAACGGAATACTCTCCAAAATTTATAGAACACTTCAATGCCTCGATAAGAAGACAACTAATTCAATTAAAAAATAGACAGAGGACATGAACAGACACTTCATCCAAGAAGACATTCATGTGACCAACAAATATATGAATAAATGCTCACAATCATTAGCCATTGATGCTTTTGTTGTGTTGTCAAGTGCCATCAAATCAATTCAGACTCATAGTGACCTTGTATAGGGTTTCTGAGGAGTGGTTGATGGGTTTGAATCACCTACCTTGTTATTCAAACCACCCTTGTGGTCCAGTGCTTTATCCTACAGCTAAAGAGATGCAAATCAAAACATGGAGATATCATCTTGCTCCAGCATTAATAGCAAAGTTCTAAAAAACAAAAAACAACAAATCTTGGTGAGGCTGTGGACAGACTGGGACCCGCCTGCACTGCTTGTGGGACTGTATAATGGTACAACCACTGTGGAAAATGGTATGGCACTTTCTCAAAAAGTTGGAAATAGAAATATTTTATGACCCAGCAATCCTTCTACTTGGTATATGTTCTCAAGAAATAAGAGCTGTGACAAAAATAGATATATGCATACCCATGTTCATTGCAGCACTATTCACAATAACAAACAAATGTCCATCTGTTTCCCTTCTTTCCCAGGTTCCAAAGATTAATCCTGGTTAATATCAGGATACACCTCTGATCCCATGAGTAGATAGTGAAAGCAGTCTGTTTTCTGATACTGAATTAAACAACGTCTAGTTTTCTCACACTTGATTCATTTCAAACTTATGTCTGTAAATGATCTAAGGCACCACAAGAACTGGAAATGACTAGTTGAATCACTTCTAAATCATTAGAGTAAAATGATTTGGGGGTAAATCTATGGAAATGATTGGTTATTTGCCGGGAGCCAGCCCCAGCAAACTTATTCCAGGGTTTCCCGAAGGTTGATGCATGCGTCGGCGGAAAGAATTACACATAGTCAATAAGTCATGATGAATTCAAAATCTTCTTATTACATGCTTTATTCTTCTCTCATTCTTTACTGTCCTGCTCATTCTTTGCTTTCCTGCTCATCTCTTCTTCTGCTCCTTTACTCCCCTCCCCTGCTCTTGCCTTCATTCCCCTCCTGCTTTTTTAATCTCCTTCCATTTCTTTACTTACTCTTCACTCTCCCCTTCACTCTTTACCTCCATTCTCCACTACATTGTCTACTCCATTCTACCACATTCTATTTTCCTCTACTTTTTCCTTCTCTCTCTCCTCTGCCCACCTCTACTTACTTATTCTATCTTACATGCTTTATGATCCTTCTTCTCCTTTCTTTTCCTCCTCTACTCCCCTCTACTTACTTTCTATATTACATGCTTTACTATCCTTCTTTCTATTCCTTCTTCACACTACTCCCTTCTTCTCCTTCTCTACATTACTCCCTTTATTCTATCTTACAACCCCCTTATATACCGTTACAAAAAACATTGCTTTCATAGTAATCAATGTCCTCAAAATACAATCTATTCTGGGGCACATTCTTCATGGTTTACGACCCTTAGATTTACAACAAAGATGAGAAGTTACAGCAAAGAGAGATTATCTCAAGGCATAGGAGACATTCTGGCGCCTTGAAACCTTTTAGTTAAACATTTGTTCCTACATAAATCTATTCTTTTCTCTGAGAAGCAAGTTAACCTTCACATATGTTTCTTAACCTTTGTCTGTTAAGTCTTGTTAATTTTAGTTGTTAGGTGCAATTAACTCTCCATTAACTTCTTCTATATATTATCTGTTTATAGCCTACAAAAACATCACTTATCAGAACATTTAAAAAACTGAGGCTATGAAAACAATTTCCTTATTTTACTGATCAGACTTCTTATTTATATAACTGTAGATTCTCATAGCCCTTATCTATAGTCTAATTGTTTTTAGGAATTCTTGTACCCATAGCCCTTATTGATGGCCTAGTTGCTTTTAGGGATTCTTTATTGTCTTAAACTAAGGCTACAAGGAAGAATGTTTATAATCACTAAGCCTAAGCTGAGAGTAATTCAATTGACAAATCCTATCTCCTAGCAGTCTTAAGAACATTGTTAATATAAGTATTAAAACTACCTATGATTACAAGTAGAATAAAATATAGCTAATATGTGGGTTCTAACTTTTAATAAAAATATACTAAAGTGTGAGAGAGTCAAAATCTAAAGTAAAGGGATACTAATAAAATCATGAATAAATCAGAGAATGATTCAACAAGAGAAAAATTAACTAGGGGCCTATGCATAGAATATTTCTTCCTTGTAGCTCTGCTATCCAAGGAAAATACTCCATTGTTGCTTTGCTAAAACAATGAATTCTTCATGCGCAGGTTTCCCTGTGTCTCATTTATTTATTTCAATTCCTCGATTAATATGTCTCAATTTCTTCATTTTAATTCCTTAATTAATATGGCCCCTGCCAGTTATTTATGAGACAGTCCTGGTGTAATGTTGCAGGATAAGCACTGGACTGCAAAGTCAGTTTGAACTGCAAGGTCAGCGGTTCAAACTCAGCAACTGTTCCTTGCAAACCCTATACAGGGTTGCTATGAGTCAGAACTGACTCGACGGCACTTAACAACAACACAGTCTTAATGTACTTTAATATAATCAGGGAAGTTTTCCTGAAAATTTACTAAGCCCTTGATCACTTGTTGAGTGATGGGCATGATATTTTTATACTATGATGTTTAAGGCATTAAACATAGCATTATTCAGGAATTACTTCAGTTATTGCTTTATGTAATGGAAGCAGTAAGTAAAGTTCCACGTTTTAGAGACTTTTAATATGTATCTTATGCCCATTGTAAAAAATCATAATTTCTTTCTTTTTTTGTTTAATTCAGAGACACTTTTTCAGAAATCTTGGGTCTATTCTGTCCTATGCCTTCTTGGGGACTGCTGTTTCCTGCTTCATTATTGGGTAAGTGACTCTGGCCCATAGAGTTCCCTATTTTGATGTTTGTGATCTCAAGCTGTACTGCCCAGTATGGAGCTACTAACCATATGTGGGGGAGCCCCAGTGGTGTAATGGGTTATGCAGTGGGGGAACCACCGTATCGTCGATGGTTCGAATCCCACCAACCACTCCACTGGAAAAAGCTGAGGCTTTCTGCTTCTGTAGAAATTTACAGCCTTGGAAACCCTATACAGGGTCACTGTGATTTGAATGGCACAAAACAACAACAACCATATGTGGCTATTTAAATAAAAATCAAGATGCACTAAAATGAAATAAAATTACACCCAGTACCCAGTTCTTGTTTTCAATATAGTTCTCCAATAAAAGGAACCAGAATCCATTACAGAAATGACTGATGAGCCTGGAGCATCTTATAGTTCCAGAACGTAAGGCAGTGTTCAAACAAGCAAAAGGATGGGGGCATGTCAAAGGGGGACAGAAGAGCCAACCTGAAAGGGCCCCTAATTGCCAAAGCTGCAATAATTTAAACAGCAACGTAAATAACGTTTTATTGGTTTGTGACCTAGAGTATAAAATGAGTATCCATGAGCCCATACTGATATAAATTATGATTGGATGAATACATAAATGGGGAAGATGTGACAAATCTTGTGTCCGAAGGACTTAAAATAATTTATGTAGATACAACTGCTTCCCCCAAGGAGTGACTCTTCGTTAGTAACCCGAGTGCTTAACCATTGCACACTCAGGGCGCTTTGGGAATTGAAATAGGAATGTTTAAGTGCTGCAACAGTGCCTAACACACAGTGTTGGTGGTGGTAGTTGTGTATCATTGAATTACTTCAACTCATAGTGACTCTGTAAAGGGTTTCTGAGGCTGCAGATCTTTATGGGAGCAGAAAACCTCATCTTTCTCCCTCAGTAGTACACAGTAGGCAAGCTTTAAGTTATAACTTTTTATTCTCAAAAAGATTAAATTTTGCAAAAAGTTCTTGAGCTCAGGATGCAAAGGGGAGTGATAACATTGTCTTTAACATCCAGAATCTTACTAGAAGCCTGGCTCTAGGCTACAATGATCCATTTCCATGCTTGTTTTTTACTGCCCTAACCCATGATGCTACCAGCTCCATCTCCCAACACACACACTTAGTACATGTACAGGGCATTTTAACACTCCCCACTGCTCCCAATTTATAAGCTGTCTTGTAGGCAGTGTGCTCAATCCATGCTGAAATATTTAACTTGGTGGTCTCTCCTGGACCACAACATAGAGAGAGCTGCTGGTGTAATGCTTAACCCAGTCAAAGAGTCTTAATGGCTACTAACGTTTTAATAGGATGTTCAGAGAGATTTGAAACTATTCTTAGCAGAGAGGCAGTAATAGGTCAATTACTTGGTTCTTTGTAACAGTTCAGTTTTTCCTTCTTTCCAGCTTCATCCAGTTCATTCATTTTCATGATTTTGCATGCAGTATCTTAGAATTCTGTGAGTTTTATGGCTATTTATGAAATATTATGCAGGGGTTTTTTTTCTTCTTCTTCTCCTTTTCCCCTCTTACTCAGTTTGGTGGTGGTGGTGGTGGTTATGTGCTGTGGAGTTGGTTCCGACTCATAGCAACCCTGTATAGGGTTTCTGTGGGTGTAAATCTCTATGGGAGCAGAAAGCCTTATCTTTCTCTCACAGAATGGCTGGTAATTTTGAACTGCTCACCTTGAGGTTAGCAGCCCGACTTGTAATCACTTTGCTACCAGAGCTCCTTCAGGATTAGTTGTTGTGAAGTGCCGTCGAGTCGGTTCCGACCCATAGCGACCTTGCATAGGGTTTCCAAGGTGGGCTTGAACCACCGACCTTGAAGTTCAAATGGTTTTGCAGTCTGGCGCATTAACCCACAGCACCACACCAGGACTTGGGTGCCTTAAATTTATCTCTTTTTAGATATAAAAGAGATTAACCAAGCAAGCAAAAGAATCAGAGATGGGAGAAGAGAGATGCCAAGCCATATGAAGACTGCTTAGGAGGAGAAGCTTAGAAGAGACAAGGATATTATTCCAGAGCCAACATAGAGAGAAAGCCTTCCCCTATAGTTCGTACCCTGAATTCAGACTTCTAGTCTCCTAAACTGTGAGAAAATAAATACCTGTTCATTAAGGTCATCCACTTGTAGTGTTTCTGTTACAGCAGCACAGGATAACTAAGACACCCTTATTTCTGGTACGTGCTCAATCACAGAAGCTGCCTGACGTTTTCGCAAATATCCCTGGAATACAGTATTCTAGTACCACTCTGATTGCCTATTTGTTGGGTTACTGGATTTTACTTTCTCGTCTGTCTGCGTTCTCTGGGGATGCCATTCTACTGATTCAGTGTACATTCCTTTCATGCAGAAATCTCATGTATGGTGTGGTGAAGCTCATGAAGATTGTGGGTCAGCTTTCGGATAAATTCTACTACACGGATTGTCTCTTTTTTGGAGCAATTATCTCTGCCACTGACCCAGGTATTTGCATATTTGGTTACAGCCGTGTGCCCTATAACATCTGTTCTGGCAACATCTGACCACGGGTCCCAACTCCTGTAAAGCCTGTTATATTTGAAATATGAACAATGGTTTGTAATAACCAAGGGTCCTACTTGATGATGTGCATCAAAATATTATTAGATGTATTATGTTAAAGTTGTTTCAGTGTGTCTGGAAGTGTTTCTTTAATGTTTTTTCAGGCACAGAAAGGTATCCTATATACTAAGATAAGCATTTGACTAACTGACATTAGATGCGAACTGTACCTAACTGTTCCAACTTAAGACAGATAGCTGAATCATCCTGGGACTGCCTCGATAGATGGGCTTCAAAGTGTTCATGAAAAGGCTCCATTATTTTTCGATTCCATTTTTCCACGAAGTTCTTGATGTCCCCTTTGTATATAAGCTGGTGTTTGCACAATATCCAAATGTTCTGTTCTACAGAACATATTGTGGATGTTAGTGATGCATGATTCCTTACATTTTAAAAAGTTAAGAACAATCATTAACTTTTGTGGGAGTCTGTAGTATTAACATGGAATGATGGAGAAAAGCAACTAGTAAGTGAGTCTTAACAAAATTAGTTGGCTTTTTTTTTCATGTTTTATTGTGAATGATGTGATATTTTACATGAGAGAACTTTAGTTTTACATTCATTCCACCGTATATCGTTTCATTGCCATGGTTCCAATCCCCTCCATGCATCATCAACCGACCAAAGGGTATACCCTATAAACCTGCCCCCTACACTTCCCCCCACCCCCATTCTTCAGCACACAGTCCCTCTCCCTCTCTGGATCCAAAGTCCCCAGCCGCTTCATCACTCCACGTCATAGTCTCTGCCTCTATCTCGGGCCTCGCTGCTTTTCTGGGTAGGGTCCCGCTCTCGGCTCTTCTCCGTTGATGGTCCTAGAGACCTCCGCTCCTAGACTGGAGAGCTAATCACTCCCTTCCGTGCTACAAAACATCTGCCTTTACATTTCCAACCCTCACAATCAGTCCTGATAACAATCATTCACTATTGTATCACAAGTGACCCTTCTGCATTTCATTTCATCAGCTCCGCCTAGACAGATTGGATAGTACTCACTGGAGATTCTGCCTTCCTCCATGCCCCCTAGCTCTAGGTTCCCTCTAAGAGGGAACCTAGTTGGCTCTTTTGGGAAGGGCATGGTTTCCTTGTAGTCTTTCATTACAGAATGTCTCTAATTTGGTAATTTCTATACTTACACTGTTTTCATTCTCAGTGTTGTGTTTTTGCCTTCTCTTAGGAAACACATAATTTTATTTCTTGTTGTTAAGTGCTGTCGAGTCAGTTCTGACCTATAGCAACCCTGTATAGGGTTTTCCAGGAGGGGCTGGTAAGCTTGAACCACCGACCTTGCAATTCAAACCGACTTTGCAGTCCAGCGCATTAACCCACAGCACCACACCAGGACTCCTAATTTTACTTAACTAGGAGGTCTGTTAGCTTAGTCGTTATGACTCAGGCTGTGAACCTCAAGGTCAGCAGTTCAAAACTACCAGCTGTTCTGTGGGAGAAAGATGAGGCTTTCTGTTCCCATAAAGATTTACAGCCTTGGAAACCCTGTACAGGGTCGCTATGAGTCGGAACCGACTCCACGGCACATAACCACCACCACTACCTCCGAGGAAGACCCCAGTGAGATGGATTGGCAATATGGCAGCATCAGTGGGCTCAAGCATGGCAACAATTGTGAGGTTGGCCCAGGACCAGGCAGTGTTTCATTCTGTTGTACATAGGGTCGTTATGAGTCGGTACTGACTTGATGGCACCTAACAATAACAACAACTACCTTTTCTTAGTGGAAACACATGTAGGCACCTTTAGTGACTGTAACTTAATTTGTAAACTCCGTTTGTACAGTGTTCCAACATAACTTTGCACTGATGATGTTTCCTACCCATGAATCTCTTACCCTGTATTTTTCCAGTGTATGTTGACCCAATACTTTTTGAAAATGGGATTATTACGTGCCTCTCTTTCCCTACAGCTCAAAAAGAAACAAGCCTGTCCAAATTGGAACATATAATCACATCAGTTTGTGTAAACAGTATTACAGCAATTCTCATGTCAACTATTGAGAGTACATTTTAGGGAAAGAATTTACGGAAAAAGGGCTGAGCCTGTCCTAACAGTGGAGGTGGAAATGTCTGCTCAATGTTTGTGATGTTCTATCGCATTCTGGACAGTCATGAGCTTCAAGATAACATTTTCCCACTTGACCATGCCTCTTGGGGATCGTATAGACTGGTGCTATCCAGCAGATCTTTCTGTGATGATGAAAGTGTTCAACAGTCTTCCTAGTCCATTATGGCCACACTTGGGCTACCAAAGAACTGAATTTAAATTTTTTTTGAAATTTTAAGTCATTTAAGTTAAAATAATTACATGTGGCTACTGTCTACTATAAGGAGTTCTGGTACGAATCGGGCTGAGAACCACAAGGTCAGTAGTCCGAAACTATCAGCTGTTCCGTGGGAGAAAGATGAGGCTTTCTGCTCCTGTAAAGATTTACAACCTCAGAAACCCTGTACAAGGTCGCTATGAGTCGGAACTGACTCCACGGCACATAACAACAACAACTGTCTACTATGCAGTCCTGGTGTGGCGCTGTCGGTTAATGTGCCAAATTGCAAAGCCATTTGAACTGCAAGGTTGGTGGTTCAAGCTCACCAGCTGCTCCTCGGAAACCCTATACAGGGTTGCTATGGGTCAGAACCGACTCGATGGCACGTCACTGGCTACTATATTAGACAGTTGCGCAATTCTGAAGACTCTTGTTCCAAAAACGTGGACTTCTCTTACCCCCACACTTTATTATAAGCACTCTATAAGTAGAGAGATATTGAAGGCTTGACTGGTTGAGACACCTTGGCTAGTGAAAAGAATCCTAGCCCTTCCAGTCATTGACTGGGTGGCTTAGGCACACTTTATCTCCTTCAGGTCAATTTCCTCATCTATAAAGTAGAAATAATGGTACCTGTTTCCTGAGGGAATTGTGACGATTACATGAAGCATTAAGCATTGGTGTTGATAAGTGCCGTTGAGTCAGTTCCGACTCATAGCGACCCTATACAGAGTTTCTGAGGAGTGGCTAGTGAGCTTGAACCACCATCCTTGTGGTTTAAACCGACCTTGCAGTCCAGTGCATTAGCCTGCAACGCAACACCAGGACTCCATTAAGCATTTGTTGTTGTTGTTAGGTGCCATTGAGTCAGTACCAACTCATAGCAACCCTGTGCACAACAGAATGAAACACTGCCTGATCCTGGGCCAACCTCACAATTGTTGCCACGCTTGAGCCCATTGATGTTGCCACTTTGCCAGTCCATCTCGCTGGGGGTCTTCCTCTTCTTCTCTGACCTTACCAAACATGATATCCTTCTCCAGTGACTGGTCCCTCGTAAAAACATGTCCGAAGTATGAGAGACGAAGTTTGGCCATCCTGGCCTCCAATGAGCACTCTGGCTGCGCTTCTTGCAACGCAGATCTGTTGGTTCATTTGGCAGCCCTTGACACTTTCAATGTTCTCCTCCAACATCATAACTCAAAAGCATCAATTCTTCTATTGTCTTCCTTATTCACTGCCCAGCTTTCACATGCATATGAGGTTATTGAAAATACCATGGCTTGGGTCAGGCGCACCTTAATCCTCAAGCTGACATCTTTGCTCTTCAACACTTGAAAAAGGTCTTGTGCAGCAGGTTTGTCTAATGCAATACATGGTTTGATTTTTTGACTGCTGCTTCCATGAGTGTTGATGGTTGATCCAAGAAGACTGAAGTCCTTGACAACTTCAATCTTTTCTCCATTGACAAGAATGTTGTTTATTAACAGATCCATTAAGCATAAGATCTGTTAATTATGCTGGTCTCTATCTACTGACTGAGGGAGAGATTTCTATGTTGCACCCAAGTGTTTTATTTTGCTTTTTTTAATTAACAAGTCATCACTTAATGCAAGCATGTTTCTAAAGAGCATGCAAACGTAGCTTTATTATTTAAATACTGTGGTATCCATGAAAAGTGTGTCTGTTGAAAAGTATTTTTCCCCCGTAAGTCTGAGAAAGATGTTTAGTCTCTCTGAAAATATATTACTAACTATACTTGTCTCTAACTTTCTTACCAACTTCCTACTAGTACCATTAACTAACAAAGGGAGGTTGATTTAATGCACCAATTACTGATATTGTTTCCTGAGTCATTAGTCTCGCTTCATTTAGTTGGACAGATGGAAAAACCACTGCTGTTGAGTTCATCCAGACTCATAGGACAGAGCAGAACTGCTCCTTAGAGTTTCTGAAACTGTAAATCTTTACAGGAGCAGACAGCCTCCTTTGTCTCCAGTGGAGCAGCTGAGTGGTTTGAACCATTGACCTTATGGTTAGGCGCCCAACACTTAACTCACAGCACCACCAGGATTCCTTTCATTGGATGTTGTTGTTAATTGCCACTGTGAGTCAGTCATAGTGACCCTGTATAAGGTTTTTGAGGAACGACTGGTGGTTGAACCACTGACCTTGTGGTTAGCAGTCCAGTGTTTACCCTACAGTAGCAGAGAGGCTTATGTTTCTAGAATATCTTTGTAATTGTTTACTTTCCTTTAACTTGTCTATGTTATGGTAGGAAATAATGGAAAATATTGCCTTTATATACCATCTTTATTTGGCCTGTGAAGATTGGCATAGTAATGGTTTTTACACAGATGAAAACTCTAGAAAATAGTTTAAATTTACTAAACATTGGGACATTAATGGCTTTTATAATGGAAATCTTTCTGAAATGTAGAATGTTTTTGTAAATTAAAAGTGGTTTTAGCAGCTTCCTAAAAATCTGTGTGAAATATTTGGTCGGTCATAAAAGAAATACAAACTTTGGTGCAAACTTACAGGGGACTACAAAACCAAACTGACTATCTGTGTCTGGTGCATCATACAAAAATTCTGAATTGAG